ACCATTGTTTATTTTTAAGCCCCGACCGGTCGGCCGATTCGCTGTTGTCACCATCCGACTCTCATGGTCCCAACCGGGACAGTACACATTGCTCAAAAGGATTTTAGCTGGCAAGAGCATGTTTAAATCGTTGCGACGCGACTGATATAAGGTGGGCGATGACTTTCAATGCACTGCGGCTTTGCAAGGGTATTCGCACTGTAGTGTCATGGGTACCTGCCTAGGGTTAAATTTTTTGGCCTTGTTTACTTCGTAGGCGGTGCTGTGATTCAGCATCCTGTTTTCAGTAACCAGAGGCATTCACAGTTCAGGGCAAGTGGGCGACATGATCCGATCGAGGTAGATATTGACCTGTGATTATTCATACAGGTCAACGGTACGCGCATTTTCAAGACACTGCAAAAGGCTGTTGACTCACTGTAGCAGTCACAAGCGACCAGTCTTCCTCCCCTTAAAAAGGAACCGTGAGTTCAATGTTTGAAGTCTGGTGGCACTAATGAAAGGGAATGACAGGGAAGTAAGGATGGTTCTTAAGTGCCAAGTTATGCCATTTTGCTTCTGTCCTGATTGAGAATGGTTGCTGGTCACACAGGTCTACAAATGAGGGGCATACCTAATTTCCTATTCAGTTCAGCGCTCGCCTAACTTTGTAAAGAAGTGTACCAATCTGGAGCCAACCATATTTTGGCGGTATATTGAAAATATTTTCACTGCTCCACCAACCTATCTTCAAAAATTATGTCCCTGCTTGAAATGCGATTATTTCATCAACATTTTTTTCCGCATTCAAACAATCATTCACGATTCAACGTTTTGCTGATATGCGTCTTAGGTACTGGAAATGTATATGTATGATAGCCAATGATGTAGGAGTTGGCAGTCCCGCTCCGAAACAGAAGCCGAAACAGCAGCCTTGCTCTCTGTTTCGGCTTCTGTTGCACGCGATCTGGGATTTAGTAGAAAAAATGTATGTTTTAAGGTGCGATGTTGAAGTATATGAATTTGTGTGCGACGTTTGATTAATGTTTTACACCATCTATGTATCATAGACAATATTGTTGAAGGACCCTTTTGGCGTCTCGTGATGGTGAGGTCGGCCATCCCGGTCCGGTCCGGTCCGGTCGGCAGGATGTGTAATTACTCCAATAATCAGGGTTCCATGCTGTGAACTGTGCTGCTACCACCCACTTAGAACCTGAGTACGCGGGACCGCTGGTAACGTCCCCGCTGTGGGTCATGATGATCTCATTCCTGAGGCCGGGAGGCCTGCCGAAAGCGCGCGAGCCCCAGCCACAGACCCGCGTACTGAGACAGCTCGGGCTGCCACGCGAGCCTTGCCTGTTATAGCGACGGCGGCCCGCTCCTTCTGTGACCACCCCGGGAGTTGGGAGGAGGGGGGGGGGGGGGGGGGGGGCGGCCAGCGCGGCCAGATTCCACAACCCTCTGACTTTCAATGCGCGGCCCCCGAGGCCATCACGAGATCCACTGCGAACACCTTATGCCTTTAACAAGTTTTTTAACTTTATTGATAGTATCGTAAAATACATCCCCATCCCCGCCAAACTTTAGCAGCTTAAGCGCTGAGCCTTGGACTACGTCACCTGACAACACCTGTTTGCGAAAAACAGACCTGTTTTTCGCGATGAATGTTTGCATTCTCCGACACCAAAACATACATCCGGAACGTGTCAGGTAAAAGGCGGAAAGGGACGAGAACAAAATTAGTCGTTAGCATTTTTGGCGCTGCTTCGGTTGTGGGCTTTGGGGCAGAGCCACCAAACTCATGCTGTTCCATGTGAACACGCAGCAAGTATCGCATGTACACTGAATTCATTGGCATCCATGGAAAACATTCACAATACTTTTTCTATAAAAACCTGCTGAACAGTGTACATTTCACTGCCTTCATGTGTCAGGTCATGCAGCCCTAGGTCACGAGGTGGCAACCTTTTAGAAATGAGAACTCGAGATAATAAATGATTCATTGGTGCATTGTGAATGCGGCAGTTTCTTCTTTTTTTAACTTTTTGGTGCAGGTCAGGCCACCAGAGACAGCCGTACAGTGTAATCTATCAAGCCAAATGGTGTACTTCTGTCATATTTGCTCCGATACGCGAAAATTAAACTGCTAGATTCAGAGCGTCAATAGCATAAGAAAAAGTGTTGTCATCTTGTCGGAAGACAGGCGATTGGAACCCAAGACAATGATTAATATTCCAAACCATGGCACGACTACATTATAAAACATGTTGCATCATTATGTATCATCCGGTTAATTTCCAGAAAATACCGAGACCCTAAAAAATCTCTCCAGAAATTTTAGAGCTAGATGCTGGATTCCAAAACACACATCATCAAAATTGCAAAGTCGATTTTTGATCACGAAAGAGCCGGAATCCAGGTTTGAGGATCATGTTCCGGGACCCACTTTGGGACGACGCACATGTTTCGGTGTAAAAGATGCATTATTTAAAAGATACCCTATCAACGTTATTTGCATACTAATGGCCGGTTGATTTTATCTCACAACCTCTGCACAAGCAAAAGTTACCAGCAAAAGCCCTGTAGCCCATCTGTTCTGGAATATCCAACCAGGCGAAACGATAGACGATGCTGACACTCTTTTATAATAATCTGCAATGAGGCCCTCTGACCATTAACATGATGCGACTTTTAAGTGTGGCTTTGTTGCTCGGATTATCTTCTTCATTGCAGCTCAGAAAGCTGATTAATCGTCTAGTAGATAATTTGCCTAAACGCTTACCATAATTTTCCTTATCAACGTTATTTGCATACTAATGGCCGGTTGATTTTATCTCACACCCTCTGCACAAGCAAAAGTTACCAGCAAACGCTGAGCATTATGCTCGAAGTTAATGTTAGGTACGGACGTGACATAAAAGTGAACACGATAAGTGAAAAAAGATACGGCATAAGTGTACCAAGATAAAACACGGGCACGGCATAAGTGTACCAAGAAGATAAACACGGGCACGGCATCAGTGTACCTAGAACATGAACACGGGCAAGGCATAAGTGTACCAAGAAGATAAATACGGGCTTGGCATAAGCGCACCAAGAAGATAAACACGGGCACGGCATAAGTGTACCAAGAAGATTTCTCCGTTGATTAATCATGCTAGGTCACGCCACAAAATGCCCGTGATCCTGTCAGCCAAGCGCCTCTCCTTATCGAGGACTTCCGCGCGAACGGAAAGAGTAGTCTGCAAAGGCCATCCAATCCTTTTACCAGAGCGCGGTATTTTCGGCACGTCAGCTACGTGCAGTAAATACATCACCATGTCAAAATATGGCATTCGGCCAGCCGTTGAACGGCAGGTAATTTCAAGATTGCCCACTAGTATGCTAGGTAAACTGAATGCATACTTTTTAGGGGCATATGTAAATAGTGCAAATAACCTAGAAGGGTGATAGGCAAACTGAATGCATACTTTTGGGCACATGTAAATAGCTACAAATATCCTAGAAGCGTAGAGCATGGCTGTTTCTTCAGATGTGTGTCACGACGCTTTAATATATCAGCTGTTACCAGGTTCCGTGAAAACATTGTTTCCATACGACTGTCAACTAAACAGGGTGAATTTCGAAACTGTGTTCCAAAAATTTCGAGCTTCTGAAACGTTATCACTTTAAAGTGACATTTAACGGCTATTTCTCAACGAAAATGCACCTAAAAGAAGTTTTATGCTGATGTCCTGGTCTGCTCAACTCTGAGCTGCAATTCAATCATTATGGCAGCTTTTTCAAATTCGCGTCATACAAGGTTAACTTAGTTCATACTTTTAGCTTTACAGAACTCCTTAACGGTCACACAATTTAGCCTAAACAGAGCATGTCTTACAGCTGCCAAAGCCCTTTCGAACGCCCTATGGCCATAAACGTGGCTGTTCATGTTATTTGTAGCCGTTGTCATATACTCGAAATGACGTCAACATATTCCTGTCATAGCTGCAGGGGCCAATGCAGCAATAGTCTTCATCTTTTTGACATGACATGGCATATTGTAAGTCACATGTGCCACTGTCCACTATCGTCTTACTGATCGCGCTTTTCAAGAGCTATTCAGTCATCTTCCATACTGACCTAGCATCCTAAGTTTTTGAAATGACAGCGAGAGTCCATAAAGCGCCACTTGGAACCTGCTGACATGCTTTGGCCTGTCCAAGGCCATATTCACCGCAGTTCAGTCAATACTAAGTGATACAGTTTGACGAGTGCTTTCCAATTCCGCCTTTGTCGAGGTGGCTTCAGCTTGCCTCAGTTGTTCCCCCACCCCCACCCCTCCTCGTAGTGAGAAGGTGAAAAATTCCCGTAGGGCTAGGATGAAAATCGTCAAATATGTATCCGCCCCCGCATCAAGCTGAAAAACAAGTGCATATTCTGAAATCAGTTTTCTTATAATCAAAAACGTCTAAACAACTTATATGCACGATATAGCAAAGTTCACTGTTACCAGCATTTTCTCTTCCAAGTCCACCGTGGCGACACGTTCAAATAAGTCTGTCCAACAGCAGCTCGCGATGCGGCTCTTGTTTTGCGTCCCGAACAGCATAGACAGCCCGGTGCGTTTCCAGGTCCCGGGCGGTTAAACCGGCACGTGCAAATAATTTAGTGCGATTTCCAGCCGCGATGATGAGGTTGTGCCAACTGTCAGTTAAATTAACGAAACTTGCCAGTAGCTTGTGTATTAGGCATCAGTTTTGGACTGCACACTTGCTAAACACTTGTTTTTTTAACTACATGACAATATTGGCCCTTAGCTGTGGCTGTGAAGGAATGTCCGTAATCCTGTGAATTCCTGGTGGTCTAAGAATAGAACGTTGGTGTTTCACTATATACATTCGCCTGTGCATTGCTCCAGCTCATGCGATCGTGACAACACAATGACCTCAACTCTTCCCATCACTGTAATCTAAACTAACATCCGTTCCCGGTTGTAACTCAAAACAATAAACCTCCTCGGTTTTCCTCGCCGTTACCTCGGTTCCTTATGTCGCAAGGAAGAACGATGGACTCCAACTCCCTGACCTCGAAGGAGGCCGGCTTTGATATAAAGCTGGGCTGAAGACTGCTGTGGGTTTGCAGCTCTGCCAAGGTGATGCCTGAAACAGAAAAAGGGATTTAGAGAAAGCCACGTCATGCAACGGTTTGACGTGAAGATCGTGGTAGGCTAAAGAGAGAAAGAGAGAGAGAGAGAGAGAGAGAGAGAGAGAGAGAGAGAGAGAGAGAGAGAGAGAGAGAGAGAGAGAGAGAGAGAGAGAGAGAGAGAGAGAGAGAGAGAGAGAGAGAGAGAGAGAGAGAGAGAGAGAGAGAGAGGAGAGAGAGAGAGAGAGAGAGAGAGAGAGAGAGAGAGAGAGAGAGAGAGAGAGAGAGAGAGAGAGAGAGAGAGAGAGAGAGAGAGAGAAGAGAGAGAGAGGAGAGAGAGAGAGAGAGAGGAGAGAGAGAGAGAGAGAGAGAGAGAGAGAGAGAGAGAGAGAGAGAGAGAGAGAGAGAGAGAGAGAGAGAGAGAGAGAGAGAGAGAGAGAGAGAGAGGAGAGAGAGAGAGAGAGAGAGAGAGAGAGAGAGAGAGAGAGAGAGAGAGAGAGAGAGAGAGAGAGAGAGAGAGAGAGAGAGAGAGAGAGAGAGAGAGAGAGAGAAGAGAGAGAGAGAGAGAGAGAGAGAGAGAGAGAAGAGAGAGAGAGAGAGAGAGAGAGAGGAGAGAGAGAGAGAGAGAGAGAGAGAGAGAGAGAGAGAGAGAGAGAGAGAGAGGAGAGAGAGAGAGGAGAGAGAGAGGAGAGAGAGGAGAGAGAGAGAGAGAGAGAGAGAGAGAAGAGAGAAGAGAGAGAGAGAAGAGAGAGAGAGAGAAGAGAGAGAGAGAGAGAGAAGAGAGGAGAGAGAGAGAGAGAGGAGAGAGAGGAGAAGAGAGAGAGAAGAGAGGAGAGATAGAGAGAGAGAGAGAGAGTAGAAGAGGAGAGAGAGAGAGAGAGAGAGAGAGGAGAGAGAGAGAGAGAGAGAGAGAGAGAGAGAGAGAGAGAGAGAGGAGAGAGAGAGGAGAGAGAGAGAGAGAGAGAGAGAGAGAGAGAGGTCAAATATTGTACTAACACACGCATTATCGCATGAGTTCTAACTCCACGTTGAAAGGAGTGTCCTTATAAAACCCCAAAATGGGCCCCGAAGAACGCCGGACTCCGAAGCTGATGGCATTCCGCAGCAGTCAAGTGGAGGGAAATGGTCAGTGGGTTGACTAGGTTAACGTACAGAGCTACAGCGAGCATTATGTTTGGTGTCGAAATGTCCAGGCATGACAATACGACAGGTGCAACAAACATAAATTACTGAGCACAGTGACAACAAACCGATTAATTACCTATCACCACGCAAACAGAGCACCGCAGCTCCGAAACTCGGATAACGTAAGCCGCTTCCCTTTGCCTTTACCGGTCGGTGAATGCCAATGAGCGGCGCACAACAGCTGGTGTAGGCTGCTCGGCCTTGTTTGCCAGCAAACACCGCTAGTGGTCCGTGCCCCTGGAGGCATCGGCGAGCGGTGAGAAATGATGGTGACCGGCGACAGTACGCGCCCTGACTCAAAAACTACACCCGGTTGTCATTCTTCACTGGCGCACTTCACCAAAGAGCGCAACTTTACCAAATGAGTTTGGCATAAGAACGTTGTGTCTGTCGGCTGACGCGTAAATGTCATCAGCCACTTTTGGTGAGCTTCAAAACGTCAAGATCAGCCGAACCAGCATGATGCATGAGAAAGGCAGATGTTGTGGCCAACATCACGATTCCAACACACAGCATCGCGATCGTCTTCCAACAGCACAACCGCTACGGCCGTTCCCAGTTCTCGGTTATGTGATTTAACATTACCTGAATTTGAACAGCCAACCCTAACGTTGACATGGCCATGCTAGGAAAACAATTGGGTAATGAGTTAAACATACCTTGATGTGAGATTCAGCCCATGTAAAAATTTCGGTTAGAAACCATCTTGACTTTGTATTTCACAGCTGTTTATAGCATACACTGTTTGCGTGTTACCCCACTAAATGTGCAAGGATGGGAAAAAGAATGTCACCTGCAGCTAGACGGGTCAAGAAGGACATCTCTCACCTCTGCGTGCTTTAGATTTCCCCACAATTGTGTTCTATACAGCAGCGATAACGACGTCTGAGCAGGAAGACAAACATGAGTGGGGAGATAGAGGCATTTACCTACACAAGCAGTAGGAGCTCAGGTAGCAAACTGCTTACTTTGTGACCAAGCCGTTCATGTTGTCAAAAGAAGCCTGCGTCCTCCCTGATTACCCTGCAGGGAGCCTAAAGCGCATTTAACCCGGTCGATGTCGATGTTAAACCTTAATCTCATTTAGCTCTTGCTCACTGAACCGCAGCGATTTCCACATGCACGGGGATGCGCGGTTCATTTACCCGTGTCGACCGAGCGGGTGTTGCCAGCTTTGACCGCCGTCCGTCGCTCGGCTAAACCGATCCGGATCCGATCCGAATCAGTTTCCTCGGCCGACCGAGAGAGCGTGTTCCGCTTTGACAGCCGTCCGTCGCTCAGCTAAACCGATCGGAATCCGATCCGAATCCGTTCCCCCGGCCGACCAAAAGGGCGTGTCCAGCTTCGGCCATCGCCCGTTGCTCGGCCCAACCGATCCGTATCTGATCCGAATCCGTTCCCCCGGCCGACCGAGCGAGTGTGTCCAGCTTTGACAGCCGTCCGTCGCTCAGCTAAACCGATCCGGATCCGATTCGAATCTGTGGGTGTGTCCAGCGAATCGGCGGATCAAGTGGGTGTGTCCAGCTTTCAGCGCAGTCCAGCACTCGGCCAAACCACAGCGCCCGCCTGTCCAGCCCGCTGCCGTTCTTGGCGCTGCTCATCGATTACACGCTTTCTCGCCGCACCGCGCCACGCCGATGACATTCTTTAACATTTCCCGGCGGTGTGGATTGGTTGCGCCGAATCGGCCGCGTGGCGTCAGCTGGCTACGTCCCCAGGGCACGCGCTCAGGTGCAAATTTGTATAACCCAGTAATAACGGACCTGGTGCGCTGCGAGCTGTTGACATGCCCCAGGGGCCAGCGCCGGTGGGGGGGGGGGGGGGGGGGGAGTTCGGAGCAGCGGCACCAGCGGCGCACTGAGGCCTCGTCAATCGAAACAGGAGTATTGCCAAAGCACAGTATCAGCCCTAAAGCGCTGTTAGCGCGAGGCTGAAGCTTCTGATGGATTTTTCAGGCACTTCAGGTATACGATGCATTAATACGTTACTCAGTGGCAAGTACTCGGAGTACTGGTTTATTAGTCTAGTTGCGTCTTTGTCATGCGAAGAGAAGTTGTACTAGATCCCGTAGCAGAGTGGTATGCGTCATGAGCATGCGTGGGTGCACAGGTGCATCTCACAGCACTCGCCCTGACGTGCTAGGTAAAATCTAGTGAAATTTGGTTTGCCTTCTGCAAGCGGTATTTTAATTTAAGAACATTCGGTATGAAGCAAAGTTATTCCTTATTAACGGGTGAGTTAGATAGTGTGAGGGCAGTGCCGCGATCATTGGTTGAGGACGTCATAGAACAATAGCTCAACTTCAATGTCTGATAAACAAAAAGTGGTCTGAGGCCGTTTAAAGGAAATGTTTCACATTTGAACATGGTGGATCAGGCATGAGATCTGATGAAGCAAGCTCACTTATAGTTCAAGGTACATTTTTTAAGTGGAAAGCGCTGCTCCAAACAGCAAAATTCTCTGTTAAGTAAATATCCTTACCAAAGCGTCATGGTTTGATTACGTCATCGTGCCTTGCACAACATTGATTGAGAGCCAGTTGACGGCCGTTATATCTGCAAGTCGCGCTCACAAACGTCATATTTGAACGCCACGACAATTATATTTTCTTGGCCTTGATCGCTGCATGGCTTGTAAAATGGCAGGTTTTGAATGGCGTTATTATGGTGTCATGGCATGTGTCATGACTTTGAAATACCCTCCAGGATATACCTTTCTCCATTTTGCGGACGCGTAGCTCAGAAACTAGACTGGCTCGGGCTTTAAGAAGGGCAAGATTGTAAAGAGCACCGAAAGGTCTTCAAGATGGCTATTTTGGTTTAAAAGAACACCATATAGATGTGGAACACTCCATTCAAGTCTTTGAAGGCTGCTTTGCATCAAAAGTTAGATGAGGGAAAAGTTTGCAAAATATTAGCCATCTACCAATTCTGACTAGACTTACTGATGTGAATGAAAGCAGTAGACCTCCTAGATTATTATAAAATGTTAAAATATCGTCGTCAACGAAAAGTTCGCTTCTAAAACGGACAATGCTTTGTTTGTCATCAGCTCGAACTGAGGATTCAGATTCCCAGATTAAAATACACTTGCTTGGAATCGAATCTTGTGAATATTTGAATCATACGAACTAGGATTCAAACCATGAAATCAGCCTTAAAATCCTCACAACGCCACGTTGTCATGAGTCATAATCAACATACGTACTTTAACTTTTGTTTTTTGCGCCTTAACTTAACTTTAAATGCATTGAATGATGTGTAAGTTGACAGTTCCTTCATATAACTAAAATTCACGCTATATGTTGCTTCCGCATCGGACTGAGTTGCACGTTCATCTTTTTAGCATGCGTAGTCTGATACATTGATGCAAAAGCTCGTAACCTAATCGCATATCTTCAAATCTTTAATCTAAAGCTCATTTCCAATTTGAATACACCTATTCTAGCATTCCAATCCCAAAATGACGCGAAGCCTCAGCTCTATTATTGGCCACCACGCATCACTGCAAAATATCAAACATGGGTTGTTCTTGTAAACGACGACCAAATGCACATCATACTCATTGCTATATTCTACAAACACGTCGTGAGGATACAAGGAGATTGCTTTATAGGATTATTGACATGCGGACGGCAAAATATAGTCATACCGCTCCTGCTTGAATACTCTGCGGCCAGGTTGTTCAGGTATGTTGGATGTGTAACGCTGCACCAAGTGCAATAGCGCATCTTGCTTCTTAAGCTGAGGTGTAGGTAACAGAAGAAATCCAGTCTCGGGAAATCCTGACCAGCCCCGTTAATGGAACGTCAAAATGAATTCAAAGCACCGAC